ATTTTCTGAATTTAAAAAAAAGTTTTATTATGTGTATCATTTTACTTGTGTACAGAAATACCCGTGTACAAGTTTCATGTGTACGAATGATACCTTGCCATAAAATCTACATATCCAAATATTAATGAACTAATCAGCAGCCAAAAAATTGGTCAAAAGACATAATTAAATTTCAAAATGATAACTGTAATTTCATGCAATGCCGGGACTCCAATTTTCGCCTTTTTGCCATGATATACCTATTTTATTAGAAAACTTTTACTTCAAAGGATCATGTATCGAGCGATAGCAAATTTGAAACTAATTTTTTAAATGTATTTATTTGAACAATATGTACAATATTCAACATTAAATAAAACAAGATTTAAAAAAAATACAAAATGTGCTTAGCGCAATCACGAACTCTGGCCTGCAGCCGCCAAGAAAATATTACATAAATCTTGGTTCTTTAATTTCTCGAGGATGGGTTCACAGATCTCAATCGACAGTCGTTGGTGAATCAATTCCCAGAATGGGTAGAGCGCCCATCGCTGGAAAAATCCTCTCGACATCTTCTCGCACAGATGCAAACTACAAGTCACCTGATGTCTATAAGGCACATAGGTCCATTTTAATTCAGAGCTCGCGAACTTGAAGAAATCCATGTACGTGAATTGTTTCACCGCCTCTTTGGGTCGTAACTGGACCAAGTCGTAAAGCGACAGACTCTGATTCATCTTTATATGTTTCGCCGCTATCTTGAAATCCGGAGCATTATACCAACACAGCTCCTCGTCTTGATCTTCTGACATCTCGAACAATCCATACTTTTTGAAAAATTTCATGATCGTTAGGACGTCGCTTTGTTTGAGCTCGTATCTTTGCACAAGACGTTCGAGTGTGCTCAAAGCGCTAGACACTAGTCTCAATTTAAAATTATCGACATCGTACCAAAACACGTAAAGCTCACCAAAATAACTCTCCGCGGGAAAAACGAAGCTCGACAGATCAGCCCCACGATCCAAGAGTACGTCTACCGCAATAGGCAAGAAATGCGCCACAGCTAATTGCAGCGGAGTCCGACCCCAGTTGTCTAGGGTGTCGATCTGCACCGTCTGCTGGACTTCGTCGATGAGCTCAAAAAATACTCTCATCAAGCCATCGTCGTCGACTCTCTTGCAAATAATATGCAGAGGAGTAAATCCGAAATTGTCGGTCAAATTGGGGTCGGCGCCATTTCTCAGCAGAAATGCAACCACGATCTTTTTGCCGCTACGCAGAGCCGCGTGCAGCGGTGTGTCACTCCGAATGTCCCTGGCGTTTATTTCCATCAGCTGATTGACTTCTTTACTTATCTTGAAGAATGTCTTGACCAATTCATTGTCTGCGTGTCTCGTGCAAATTAAGTGCAGAGGAGTCATTCCGTAATTATTGGCCAACTGTGGATCCGCGCCTTTTCTCAGCAGAAACTCGAGCAACTTTCTGTGGACATGAATCACTGCCAGGTGTAGCGGTGTCTCGCCCGATCTGTTTCTGGCATCAATCAGCACCGGCTGATTGACTTCTTCGCATGTCTTGAAGAATATCTCCACCAAGTCATCGTCGCGGCTTCTCTGGCAAAGAACGTGCAAAGGAGTGTCTATACGTGTAACGTTGACTGCATTTGGATTTGCTCCGTTTCTCAGCAGCAATTTGACCACTTCCTTTTGGCTATGGCCCACGGCGAAGTGGAGCGGCGAATTACCGGATCTTTCATCTTGGCCGAGGGACTCGGGGTTTTGACTGAGCTTAATAAATTGCTTAACGACGTAGTCAAGGCCGTGTATGCAGGCCGCATGAAAATGTGACAATCCCGTTTGGTCGGTATAATTCAAATCATAGCCGTTGTAAATTGCAAAAAGATTAAAGACGCTTTGTATTCTGCAGCTTCTTGTCGGGTTTCTAGCGGCGCGGTGCACAGGTGTAGTGCGAAGCAACTCTGGTTTACCGTCTTGATCGATTACGGGCTTGTCCTTGTAGCCGGTGCGAGTCACGAAATCGATGAATGTCTCTGTCGACCGGCTTAGAAGCGCATCCGAGAGAAGATTCTCAATTTCTTCGGGCTGAAAAATCTCTCGGAGATTAGGAAGTTGTTTATTCCAGTTGCAGATAAAAGGACAAAGTTGTTGAAGAAATGCAACTCGCTCTTCTTCAATCTGCAAATCCACTTTTGCTCGTAGACTCTTCAATCTTTCTAATTTGTCTTTGATATCGGAAGTTACACAGGGTTGGTCTTGAGACGATGACATGATTTTGCAAAAACACAATCACTTATAACTTACGATATATTTATAAATTTTTTTTTTGAAAATCACTCGATGAAAACGACGCTATCTGTCTCACTGTTCACGCAGCGGCGTCGTGAAGTGTACTGAACTTATACTACTTGCACTACGATCTATATAGAAGGTGAACGAATAGACGCACGAAGCTATTAAGATATACAACTAGCATATGAGCTGTATAGAGTAGGAGTCGAAATTCGATATATAAAGCATCAGCATGCAAGACTATGCGCGCGGCCCCGCCTCCAATTCTTTGGGCTTTCACTTTCTAATCGTTACCGAATTTAACGACTTGCACCTGTATGTATCTTTTGACGGTGTACATCTCGCAGTAACATGTGTAGCGTGAGAGAGACATGCGACGTTGCATAGACATAGCAATGACCAATGACCATCATACTCATTTTTTCATACAAGCAGCCAAAAAGTGTCTATAATCCACTACAGCTTCGCAAAGTGGGGAGCTCTACTTTCGGACCACTATAATATATATGAAAACTCGTATACAGATCTAAGCCACAATAAAATGGCCCTGTGCACTAATTCCATGTACTCTTCATTTTTTAGAGTCTTGTATCGGGATATACTATTATTCCCATAATTCCGAAAAATAATCAAATTAAACGTACATCTATTAATAAAATAATATACGGGCTGATTCCGAGTTCATTCGATTAATGCGCGCTGATTCATATCATATCGAAGCAGCCTAATTATAACGTCTTGTAACGACTAATTATCTCTTTTAAGTGTAATTGTAGCGTCTATTCACTCTATCTCGCTCGCACGAAATCGTTCAAATCGTGAACGATTAGAAAGCAGAAATCCAGCGAGATAAGGACGACGCCTATGCTTATAGTCGGTATTAATGTCGCACGAATTATAAGCGAATGGCTTCGATTGTAAGTACGTTTTTACTTTCTACATACGACACCGCAGCGTATGAAATAATTAAGGAAAATTGTATTGACTGTGGCCAACGCGAAGGTATCGACATCTCTGCATATCATTTGCGAAAGAGGCGGAGATGACGTCTTGAGCGAGTTATTATTGAAGATTAACAACGATATCCAGCAGATCAATGTCCAGGACAAGTTGGGTAACACGCCGTTGCACTATGCTCTGCGCAACGGCGAAAAGAACGTGGCTGAACTTTTGCCGAGAAATGGCGCCGATCCGAGGTCGACCAACAAGGAAAGATCGACACCTCTTCACGTTATTTGCCAGAGAATCTACGACGACGATTTGGCGAAGATATTTTTCGAGGTCAACGACGAAATCCAGCAGTCGGTGCAAGTCGACGCCCGGGACGAGTTGGGCCGGACCTCGCTGCAATTGGCCGTAGCGAGTATCTCGCCGAATTTGGTCGATTTCCTTTTGGATCGTGGCGTCGATCCGTCCGGCTTCGTTTTTCCGTCTGCAAGTTATTTTGGCAGGCCACTGATACCGTGTAAAACGCTTCATAGCAGAGAATTGTTGCATACTTTTAAATTGAGACTAATGTCCGGCGCTCTCATCGTCGTTGAACGTCTCGAGGAAAGAGGATACCAGCTGGACTTCAGCGGTGCCCTGGCGGTCGTGGCATGGATCGCTAGATGGAAATTGTTCGCCAAGTCGGCAGATCTCGAAGAATATTAGTACGATGACGAGGAGCTCGTTAGTAGAGCAAAAATAATAACAATTGCAGGCCTGCCGATCAACGACTTGATTCGGTTACGACCCGAAGAGGCGACGAAACTACTCACGTACGAGGATTACTACGAGCTTGCAGTCTCGAAACAATTGTATAGGCTTTCGGAGGGTGAATATATAGAGAATTGTACTTTGCATCTGTGCGAGAAAATGTCGAGAGGATTTTTCCGGCGATGGGCAATAAGCGCCTTCTGGAAGATGATTCCCTTGCGGCTGCCGATCGAGATCTAGAAATGATCATCGATAGATCATACACGAACAGAGATTTGTGGAATATTTGCTTGGCAACGGCAAATTTATGTTTTCCATATATCATTCAAAATAAATACATTTGAAAAATAATTTTGGATTTTTCTATTGATGAGTACGCGATCATACCAAATAAAAAATTCCGAATGATGTATTCATTACCCCGGTATATCGCAATAGAAAAAGTTGAAACTGGACAAATCGTTTTCGAGTCGAGTAAAGCTCGAAAAATAATAACACATAAGTCGTAAATGCGTGTATTAAGCGAAGAGGAAAAGACAGAGAGGAAATAATGACTCGAGGCGTAAGCTTGTCCTGACGCGCTCGTCGAAGACGAGAGAATATCGACAGGTGCATTTATCGCTCGGCTATAATATACGCGCTGCAGGGAGAGAGAGAGAGTAAGAGTGGCATCACTCGGTGTGTGCGGCTTAATGGCCAGCCAATCTACTATTACTACTAGTGCTACTACTGCTACTACCACCGACCCCGCCCTCTTCCGACACTTCTCTCTCTCTCTCTTTGCCTCGTCAATTTTAAAATATCGACAGTTCATGGCGCGTTTGGCCTCTGGCGGCAGCTCCAGTTGCATTATATATTATATAATATGAATACAAGTTGCTGACTGATGCGCGAAACGCATACAATACTTTTGTGTATACCCAATACCCGCTTATGTATATTTGTATTATAATACGCGATGACATAATGAGCGTTGCTCCATAATGTGATTTGTTTTGTTTTTCCATGTTGCAGAGTGCGACCAGAGGTTCGTAAGCATACCGGATGGGCCGCAGAACGGCACGTTCCACGCGCCGAATCTCGTCAATCCGGAGGGCGAGTCGCGCCAGTGCGTCTACACGTTCCTGGCGGGGCCGCATCAGCGCGTAGAGCTCGTCTTTACGAACTTTGGCCTTCGTGGCACACCGCCCGAGTGAGTATAGTACCTACATATATTGAAAGCTTGTGTGTACACCCACATACCCAGCAACCCACGAGAGAGAGAGAGAGAGAAAAGCCAAAGTAGCGCTCGAAACTCGAGTCTCTGGTAGGGTAGTCGACTCACGAAGCTGTTCCGCAGCGCACTTTGAGTGTATCTTTTAGCTTGTGTGCATATACAGCAGCGGCTGCAGCAGCGGCACAGTAATGTCTCGTCTCGGAGGAAGACAATTGCGAGTGGCAGCCTGCAAGGCAGGAATCGAGGCTACACGGAGCTAAACTTTATTAAAATTGAATATATTATATATACCTTTGCGCAGTACACGATGTAGTACAAGACTCGAAGCGACGACGACGAAGACGACGAAGACGTTAAAAACGTAATATCGCCTATATATCTCGCGTACAGAAACTCGGCATGCAAAATTATACCTACACATGCATTCATAAAGATGCTTTATATATACGCTTGATGAAGAATGGATCACACGACGACTCTGGAAGCCATATTACATATCCTATCTATATAGATTTGAGCTTCGCGCGCATCTAATGCACGATATACGCGGAGGCAGTTGCAGCAGCAGCAGCAGCAATCGAATGAATTAAACATCGGAACTCGTATAACACATGCAAATCGAGTAGCTCTCGTTCGGACCGCGGGAAACGTTATACATCTATTTTATTGTTAAACACGTGCTCGCATACGTACGCACATGGGACGCACATGTACTTACACGTCGATGCGCGAGGCGTACATGCATATATTTATAATAGCCCATTCACATTTCTAGCGCGTAGATTTATATGCACGTGAATATAATCGGGGACTCGACGCGGCACAAACGATTATCGAGTCTCGACCGAATCAAAGGCCTATAATCAAACGCGACGAATCGCTGGCATAAATAAATACGCGATCGCGATCAGCGGCCTTTAATAATGATAGTAATAATAATAATAATAATAATAATAATTCGTTAATGACGCGCCGTTGCGGGGGATGTACATTACGGCGTGGGACGTACTCGTTTGAGCTCGCATTCATCGCTGTAATCTTGCACACGAGTTCTTTGTGATTTTCAAGAAATTGCGTGAAATAAATCGCTCGCGGTGTACGTAAGCTCTTGACTATGCACACATATAGATATAACACAAGGTACTTCAGCACGTATTTATATCCTCGCGTACAGCCGCTAATTAGCCTTGACTCTCGGTCGCGCAAAGTTTCGAGCATTGATTTTCCACCTTTTATAAATATAAATGCGAGAAGTCAAAGAGGATCTCCCTTTCTCTCTCTCTCTCTCTCTCTCTGCTTTGGAAAGCGGCGCGCGCGGAAGCTTATCAGACGGCCACTTTTCTTCCTTGCTGTGTAGAGACTCTATACTACTGTACCAGGTGCACACGGCCATGCTATATACCCGCGCTATATTACTGTACCGGCCGCGCGGCAGTTCTCGACTCGAGATAAAGCCACGTCGTACCTAGCTATACCGGGGAGAGCTGCTCCCTCGTAGGGCGCGCGGCGTTTTCGCGGCGCACTTCTACGGCTCGTGATAGTAGTAGAGTATAGTATACCTATGATGCTCGTTATCTTTCCCGGCACCTCACCTCTCTTTCTCTCTCTCTTTCTAGATCGTCCTTTTCGCCTGCCCGCGTATTATATATACTTTTCTTATATAGCGCGCGCTTTAAAGGTGGAGATACTCGACTCGCTTTACTTTGGCTTATTCCCTTCTGCGAATTTATATACGTGCTATATGCATTGGCACTTACATATACGTGTATATTATATTATTATATATACACGAAATGTAATCGAAAGTCGATTACGCTCGAGGATCGTATTATATACAGCTCGAGGGAGAGAGAAAAAAAAATCGTCATCCTTGGCGACAAAAAGAGCAACGCTGGGAAAACGATATGATATATACCTATACATTACGTGCCTGCGGCTGAATTCGCAGCTCGATTTCACGCAAGAGTATAAGAACCTCTTCTATACTTGTTTTTTTTTTGTTACAGTGGAGCCGCAGTCGGAGAACTACCCGCGTAAGTGTCCTTACCGATATTGACATCAATTAACGCTTGATTTTTTAAACATTATATAAAAATACATTTGTCTCGCTGAAGGTGTGTCCACGAGTACATGGACGTGTACACGGAGATCCGGACGGACAACACGACCAAGCTGATAGAGACGCCGTTCGGGGGCAGGTACTGCGGCCCGATACCGCCTCGCAAGAGGGTCTCGCTTTACCAGGGCATCGCTCTGAGCTTTTATACCGACAAGAACATCACTCTGCCGACCCTCTTCGACGGCCGATACGCCTTCATCAATGCCTGTGAGTATAAACACGAAGACGAGAAAAATGTAAATAAAGTAGTATACATGAGTAATGCGCTACGATTAAGAATTTACACCTGCGTCGTGTACCGTGCGCTTGTTTTATCACGAGGGGGGTAAATTCATATCGTAATTATGTACGATTGCGTGACTAAAATGTTGTACGATTTGTGTGCGTGTTTCGTAGCTGAATACGAGATCGGGACGCCGGCGCCGTCGCTGCCATGCTCGTTCATCGTCAACGCCGACGTCAAGCGGACCGGCTCGATACTGTCGCCCACCTATCCGGGCACCTATCCCAAGGACCTCGTCTGCAGCTACCAGTTCATCGGCCAGCCGAGGCAGAGGGTGCGCCTCGAGTTTCGCGACTTCGATCTCTTCTTCGGCGGCCCTCAGTGAGTATTGCAATAATAACAATAATAATTTTTAGTATACATTCGCGATATCCGTCAGAGCTGTGCGGATTTTATCGGGCGCTCGGAGATGCGTCCTCCCGAACGAGCGAGAGGCACTGCAGTTATAATATTATAGGTGCATGAGCGATATATAGACGCGCACTGCCACTATTGGAAATCAATTCCTCGATTTTTTTTATGTATGAACGTCGTCGCGTAAGGTCGCGCGCGCAGTGAGACGCGCATTAAAAGTTACAGGAGCTACAACAGTAGTAGTAGTAGGGCTACACCTATATACATAAAACAGTATTACGCGTGGGCGTGTGTCGAGCAGGCGAACATATACTAGCACACAAAAACACACACGCACGAACACATCTATCGACTTTATCGTCGAATCGTTTCGCGATTTAACTTTCAGAACATCAAAAAGAGAGCCGTGTGCCGCGGAGCGCGAGCTTTTTATATTCAGCGAGCGCCGATAGAACATTTTCTTTTTTGCACTTGGAGCGTAAAAAATGAAAATAAAAATAATAAAATATAAAGGTAATCCTCGCGAATAAATGTGCGCATCGCATCGTGTGTCCGATGGAACGCGCGTAAATGCGCGCGCGCTTCGATCGAGTATTGTTCGCGTTTCCAGCCAAGTAAAGTTTATTAAATATAAAGCCGAACTGCAGCGGCAGTATAGAGCGGCGCGCAATTTCGAGATAGTAGTAATAGTAAATGCCTGCGCGAAATGTCCGAGAAACGAACGCGCTCTGTACCTATATACCGTACACACGATTTTGGAGTGAGTGAGAGAGAGCAGTTGGCATATTAGCTGTTGCAGAAGCGATGTATACAAGCGTACAGCTACTCTAGCCAGGCCAGCCCGCGCGCGTGTGTGCAGAGATTGCAGTTTCGGACTGTTGCGCTCGAACGAGTTCAGCTTAATTTTGCCCCAGCCAGATATATGCGCATCCGAAGCTCGCGTACGCGTGCGTTGATGGTCTCTCTATAAACTCGCGTCACTCCTCCGTCTGTCCACAGCTGTCCGTTCGATTACGTAAAAGTTTACGACGGCATCAACAACACGTCGGCGGTGATAGGCACGTACTGCGGCCAGCAGCGCAATCTCGTCCTGTACTCGTCCGAGTCCAGTCTATTCGTGCTGTTCGTCACGCTGCAGAGGACGGCCAACACGCAGAATCGCGGCTTCAAGGGCATCTTCGAGTTCTCCGAGAGCTTCGTCAAACTCGGTAAGGGCCGCCCGAGGGGGTCGACCAATAATAAAATAAAATAAATAAACAGATATCACGGAGAGAAATACTGTACTAAAATCAGAGTGTTCGCTGGTAAAAATTGCTATGTTGATTGAAAAAGGAATCAATGATATAATGTACATGCTAAAAATGGTTATGACACTAATTACTTTGTCAGGATTAATACTTCGAAATGCATTCCGTATTGTAACAAGATTCAGCATAATCCAAGCTTTTCAGTTTCACCGACAGATGGAGTATTGTGAAGCCGTAAGTGGCAAAAACAATATCCGTAGCTATAAGTACAAACATTAATTTTATTAATTTTAACTACCGCGTGTGCTCCATATTTCTATGATAAGATTGAAATTGTCATAATTTGGAATAAAGAGCACAGGTTTTTTTATAGAAAAATTGCTTTTCCAATTTTGGAAGTTCTAAACAGCCTGCGTTTTTACATTTTTCACGATTATCCTGTTATCGCTGAATCTTCTCTTTGTCTTTTAGGTGCCGTGTAAACAATAAACGGAAAAACTATCGCTCTTCAATCGCCAAAAGAACTTCTCTCTAAACTGATATTGTTTGTAAAATACATGTGCCCTCTGAGGAATGGAGCTCGCTAGACCAAGTCGTACATATTATAATAGTGAAAAAACGTTGCAATGGCGATAGCTTCTTATTCATCCTCTCCCCCTCTACCGTGTACTAGCCGGACGCAGTAATTTATTCACGCGGCATTTTAACTACACCGAAATTATAATAAAAAATTTCTTCATGATGCTTTTGTGTATATTTCATATGTAATTTAATATGTATGTTACAAAGTTCATTATATACCCGCTCAGCAACAACTCGTGCAACAACGTTGCCACTAGTATAATACAACTAAACTTGTATGTATGCCAAAAGTAAATCCGCTAAATTGCAAAAATGACTACCCATCAACTCTAGGGCTCTTTTCCTAGTCACGAGCATAACAATTTTAGCTATCGAATGTTATATTTAATACAGTATTTCTCTGGATAAATAAAGTTCATCGCCTCAATGCCTAAAGTATTAATATTAATGAAAACAATACGTGCATTCGCAGACTTCATCACGAATTATGGGGGCGAGCACATACGCGGCACCGAGTGCGACCAGAAGATCCTCAGCCGAAAGGAGTCGATCGGCTTCGTCGTGTCGCCCAACTATCCCTATCCCTATATACCGAAAGTGGTGTGCCGCTACTTCATCTACGGCATGCAGGACTCGCAGCATCTCGAGCGCGTCAGGCTCGAGTTCGCCTCGTTCACGATACCGAAGGGGGAGACCAAGGGAGAGTGAGTATATATACACACATAACATAACATAGCACAGCACATACATATAGCAGCACTGATTTGTCAGCTCGGTCACGCGTTACATATCCGCGCGCAGCGAGCGATACGATGATTCATCGATGCGGCGTCGGTGGCGGTGGCGGTTGGCGCGAGCAAACAATTTGCCCAAAGTTTCGCCTTATATAGCTACGTTACAGCAGCTGCCACCGTCGCTGCTCCGGTCCTGAGATTAAAATCTGCACTCGCGCGTGCAAAGTATATAATATACGCGATGGACGAGCATGACGAATGGCTTATACATTTTACGAAGTACACGTAATATAAATCACCCGATCCCGTCGTCTTCGGTCGCGTCCTGGCCTGATTGGCTCTATATGCGTTGAACTACCTCGTACAGCACGAGCTGCACCGACGGCTATCTCAAGCTGTACCTGAAGGGCCAGGAGGCCACGGACTCGTACGACAAGCACGACTACGAGCTCTGCGGCAAGGACAACACGCCGGGCCACGTGGTGAGCGACGGCCCCCGCCTCGTCATGGTCTTCTCGAGCGGCGAGCAGCAGGGCCGCGGCTTCAAGGCCAAGTACGTCTTCGAGACGGAGTACCGGATACCCGGCACCGCCGCCCCCGACGGCAGCTGCACCTTCACCTATCGCAGCTCGTCCCGCAAACGGGGCGAGTTCAATTCGCCCCGCTACCCGAGCAACTATCCGAGCGACACCAACTGCACCTATCTGTTCATGGCTACGCCCAACGAGCAGGTCACCCTCATATTCGATCACTTCAAGATACGCACCAAGAATTACAACGTCAGCGGGGGACATTACGGGTTGGTGTTCAACAATTTTTTAAAAATATTCTGTGTATTTTCGATCTGTGTCCACACGCTCGTGTCTCTGTGCAGCATGGAGTACTGCCAGGACGACTGGGTCGAGATCTACAACATGTACAGAGATAACACGGAGAAAATGATCGGCCGTTATTGCGGCATGACGGCGCCCGGCCCCGTCGAGTCGACCCTCGGTGCGCTCGGCGTCAAAGTCATCCTTCACACCGACTCCGATCTCGTCTACAGTGGCTTCAAGGCGCGCTACGTCTTCGAGAACGCCAAGTCCATATTCGGCGGTACGTATATTTACAACGAGACGATATCATCTTCACGAATTGGAATTAGCCCCTGGTACTTACTTATGCTCGGCGCGCCCGTTGATTCGCAGACTGCGGCTCGAACATAAGCAGCCTTCATTACGGCATCATCACCAGTCCGAATTTTCCCAACAAGTACGACGCGCCGTCCAAGAATCTGGCCAGCAAGACCTGCAACTGGTTCATCAGTGTCAGGCCCAATCGACAGATCATGCTCAATTTCGAGCTCTTCTCCGTCGAGGGTGAACAATCCGGTAACGTACAACGACGCGCTTGACCCCTTTTCTTCCCCCTTTCTTCTTTTCTTTACTTCGAGATCGGTCGTGGATGACGATTCGGTTTATATTTTGTGTGTTTGTGTCGTGTGCGTAGCTCGTGGCTGTCCAGCGGCGGTCCTGCGCATGTGGATCTCGCCGCACAGCACGCCCGTGGAGCTATGCGGTGCCAAGGAGCCCGAGGAGAAGTGGAGCCACATATCCGACGATCACAACATGCGACTGAGGTTATTATTGCCACATACACATAAACTATTTTTCCTGCGGAAGGCTTGCATAAAAAATGACAAAGAAAAATAAACGACCTTCAAAACTTTGAATATATTACACGACGCTCTGTGCATGTTTACGTAGCTTCCTGTCGGCGGACAAAGCCGTGGGTCAGCAGGGCTTCCGGGCGATCTGGACGGAAATCGAGCAGGACAGCGATTGCCACGGCGGCTTTCTCTGCCAGCACTCGGGCTACTGCATCGACGACACCCTCAAGTGCAACAACGTCGACAATTGCGGACCCGACGACACGTCCGACGAAGACCACTGTAAGTCTGCATCTTGGACATTCTTCTCCTTCCTCTACGATTAAATAAATAATAATTATGACATAACGTAAACAAAGACCAGAAAAAAAAAAAATAAAATGAGATATAACGACAAATGAATCGATCGCAGTTTATCGAGCGAATTTAAATTAAATCGCAAAATATATGCCTTGGGTGACACGAAGAGTGACATTTAAAGAGTGAATTGAACTTGTATCAAAAGATTGTGTTGACAAATAATAATTATTGTTACTCTATAATGCGTGCTTGAAATGCAATACACGCATATGTTGGGGCATTCAAAATTAATATCAGACAACACTCATCAATGACACGATCTAACTAAATTATTTCTTAAAGTAAATCTGAAAGATTTAAAAAAAATTATAATTAAACCTTTGTGTCGATGTGTCGATTTATCCGCTTGTGAATTTCATTCCGTACCTGTCTTTTAGCTTATTATCTCATATTAAAAAATATACATTAAACGTTTCATAAACAACTGCGTTCTTTCGCACAATCTCTAATTATTGTCTTTCGTGGATGGTTCAGACGCACGCGTGTCTCCTCTATACACCTCCAAATTTCTCTCTTTCTTTTTCTCGCACTCGCGATTTGAACCGTCCACAGAAAAAAATCTCAAAGCACAAATATTATACATTAACGATTCCGTGTGATATTTCTTGTCTGTATATTATCTTCACCCGTTCGTGACTCTTTTTTAATTTATAATTTTAGTTTTTTACTTTTGTTGTTGTCTGAACTATACTTACTTTAAGACTAACTCTCACTGTTATGTTCTTTATACTAACCAAGTTTTACGATTAATCAGAGTAATAATAATATTTGATAATCTCACGTTGACGCACTGTATCAATATCTCTCTTCGTATTATTAATTAATTACACGAGCAAATTAAAAGCAATTTCAAATAATATCGTTTCTGTAATGTGTGGCATGATGGCACTATTTATCATATAAATATTATAAACATATCGTACAATATATTACTATATGATCCTGTACAATTCACATATGAGTGTGTGCAAAATTATGCATAAAACTTTTTTCTCTACATTACATATTGCATAATCCACCAAATGATTTGAATACTTTTTAAAATCACAAGAAAATTATTTCTATGTATTATTCACTTGATACTATACTTTCTATTCAATTTATTTCTACTTCTACCTCTCTCTAAATATCATTATAATTATATATTATTATATACATAGGCTTCTGTGTCGATGTCTCTCACTGCCAAGCACACGGAAAACATATTTTTGAATTAATATTCTACCCAGTTTAACGAAGTTATATAGCAATTGTGATCAATGTTAATTTTAACAATGGCAAGTCGAGTATAATATTTCAATAGAATGGAGCGTTTAAGCAAGTAGTTAAATCTAGATACGGTCAGTCACGCAACTAACTTGTTATCGAGTTAACGTGTAGTAGATATATTTATGAAGAGTATCAAATTATTACGAATAGACTTTGCGAAAGAAACGAAATATATGAGAATAAAAAATAGTACAATTTTTTATAGAGAAAAAAAAGTAATAACATATTTCAAATATAATGATGTTCTCGTATAGTTGTACACTTGACATGAATAAAAAAGACGTCAAGCAATATAAGAAAAAGTTCGCCTGTGCATGAGAACTCTTAAGATTCAAAATCAAAAAAAAAAAAAAAAAAATTGATGAAAAAAGAGAAAAAAAATACTGTATGTGTCCATAAATAATCTGATGAATATAACCGGGGTTCTTGTGTGACAAATGGAAAAATCGGCTCGCAGGTGCAGTCGAGGACGCCTCGGGCCCAGGGCCATTCGGATACACGACTGCCTACGTGCTTCCTCTATCTCTGTGCTTTCTTCTACTCGTGAGCTACCTCTTCGATGCCGATGTCAAACTGTCGACATGCCAATACTAAAATCACTTCTTCTTCTTAAACAAAAAAAAAACAAGTTAAAATAATAGCCATTATAAAAAAAAACAAAAAAAATAACTCGACAAAAAAATCTCTAACCGTCTCTCACGTGAGTCTAATCCTATCGCACAACTATTACTTTTTACACACCTTTGTTGTATATATTTTTGTATACCATTAATTAGTATTTTATTGTGTATTTTTATTATAATATATATTATTGCGAAAAATCTCTTAGAAGCTAAAGCTAGCTAATAATCTGCTGCTGCCGCTGCTGTTCTGCTGATGTTGCTGTTGTTGCAATTTTGTTGCTTCTTCATTTGTACATCGTATATATATAATTTTGTGTAATATGGACGCCCAACCCCCTGAACCTGTTTTTCGACTCTGAGCTCCGGCGATCGAGCTTTGCGAATTGCGAGTATAGTATACCTACGCGATGATTGCGCTGCAATTTGCGGGGGTAGAGCTTTGCTTTTTTGTTGTCTGTGTCTCTCTGTCTGTGTGTGTGCGTGGACGCGCATTTGTGTACGTGATGTGTCTGTGTATTATACGATTCGAAAGGACACGACCATGCGCAGCTTATAACACATATACCTTTTCGGTCTCCATCTTTTTTGCCGTGTTCAGTTTCTGCTATTTTAGCGACGCGCGATGTGATAATAGGGCAATCTGCCGCTGACTCGCCAATGTTCGCAATGTCGTTTTCTCCGTATATATCTACCGCTCTTCTTTCTCTCTATTATTTTTTTTTTTCATTTTATTCAACCTGTACATGACTTGATAAATCGCTAAATGACATGCAGAGATGTTTTTGACCTTTTTTTCCTCTTGTGATTTATTATACGCTCCGTATGGAGCGTCAGATTGTTTTGATCGATATCAATAGTTTGTGACGCGGGGGATGAAACGACCGAACACCACCGCGCGTGATTGAGTATATAGTTCTGGAATTTCTCCATTGTTTGATTTTTGCATGCCCGAGCGAGAGCTATACCATTATGAGGCGATAAAAATAAAAGCAAAGTTTGGCTGATGTTATGATTGCATGTCAGAGTTCGTCCTTTTCATTTTTACACGTATTTGAGTATCTTGTTATAATAAATATAATTTAAGAATACGTATTAATTAAAAAAAACAATATTATATTAATTGAATAAATTAATTGAATAATATATTTTGCTCTCGTGTCCATTATTTTGCATTACTTTTCATAGTGTGTGAAATAATACACTAGCAAAGTGTCCCGGAGGAGAGAATAAAATAACGTTGAAAACGAGCTTTTCAAATTCAAAACCATTTTGTACGATAAATTTCAGTCGAAATGTTATAAACATGTTCAAGAGTTGTTTTTCTTCAAATTTTTATGAAATTTAAGTTTGTAATTGATACGATGCAGTTAAAAATAAATAACATGGAAAAGAAAAATTCATACATCGTTTCATTTTAACAATGTATTAGTACAACAAAGTAACAGAAAACAGTGAAGAAATGTAAGGTCATATTTCGTTCTCTCCGTTAAGAGTGCAAAAATTTTGGCTTCATAATGAATGGGTTTTTTGTCTTTTTAAACGACTTCGTTGAAATTCATATCCGAACAATGTAAGTAATTTTACCTCCGAGTACCGTTAGAAAAAAAGAAATTTCCATTTTAAATACGTAGTTCTCTTTCCTTTACAATCATCACTTTTCTAGTAGAAGTTGGTAATTAAAAAAAAATAACAGAAAAACTCGGAACATCAGCATTGGCATTCACCCTTTCATTATACTCTCCAAAATCTTTGAACGAGGGACCTTCTGCTTACAATCATGAATTCCTAAAACATTAGATACACGTATATATATATTGAGTGTCCAGGAAATATAGATTAAATTTTGGGAATTGATGGCCTTTTGGAAAATGAAGGTTTTTTTCAATGCAACGCATCTGTGTCACCAATATCTTTAATGAAAAAATATTTTTTAAAAAAAAGTACGAGAACGAAAAGATGTCGAGCATGAAAAAAAACAATATATATCGTAAAATCCATTAATCACCCCCCGAGCGTAATGTAAATTTTTGGATCGGAAGTAATCCAAAAATTTGCCACTAACGATCGACGTTACATACTGCATACATATTGATATTAATTGTGACATATACATATGAATATATAAAACGATTGCCACTTAGCCGAGAAAGTAACTAAAACATGAAAAAACCGTTGCACGCCCGCCTCCTCTTCCCGTTCCTCCCATCCCACCCGTACCTCTTTCACTTTTTTGTCGCCCTCATACAAACGTCAACATCAACGACAACGACGACGACGACTACGATCGATGGGTGGTGGCGCTCCCTTCCTTCTCTGTTCTCTGCTTTTCGGGGACTCGAGCAGGCAGCGTAGCTCCGCCACCGGAGAACTACTACGCCCTACCGGCCGGTAGCGCGAGTCTGGTCGTGCTTGGGCTGCTGGTGCTGTGCTTCGTCTGTCAGCGTCGGGTGCGTCATCGGCTGCAGCTCGACGCAGCGGCCTCGAGGTCGGCCACCCACGGCGGAGGCTTATCGGGACACCTCGACGGTCTGCACCATCATCATCATCATCCAGGAGCCGGAGGCGGCGGTAGTGGCCTTCGAAGCGGCCTCGACGATCGCACCGATCGCTGCTTTCATCCCCATCATCATCACCATCATCACGGCTCGTCGTTGCTGCTGCCTCAGTCGCCGTCTGCGCAAGCTCAGCGAGAGCAGCAGCAACAGAATCATCATCACCATCATCACCATCATCATCACCATCTCGGCAATTCGCATCATCATCGTCGCATGCTCAACGACGAGGAGCTGCTCACGGGAGCCTGCGGCGACGACGACGACGACGGACTGCCCTGCAGTCCGAATCACAGCGACTGCAGCGACGAGGAGGCCGAGATGGAGCTCGTGGGCGAGGGCAACGGCGAGGACTGCAACGACTGCACCGAGGTCGACGAGGTCGCGGCCATGGCCAGCGTCGCCGCCGAGAGGCGACTGGTCCGCATGCAGAAGAAGACGAGCAGCTGCTCGACGGCCGATCAGGACGATCAGCAGCGGCTCAACAACGCCGAGGACGAGGACGAGGACGACGACGACGACGAAGAGGACGAGGATAACGACGGCGGCGAGGAGCAGCGTCTGGCCGGCAAGGTCAACGCGAGTCCCGATATCGTGCGTTGAACGTGTAAAAACAGTGCGCGTTCTATCGTGAGCGACGAAGTATGACCTTGCGTTGATCGCCTTTTTTTTATATATAGCTGTCGGCAACTGTCCCGAAACTTCTATTTGTTGCATATACATGTGTGAGCTGGTCAGTTGTGCAACGTGGCTATATATAAAACGCAGTTTACCATGACAAAAAAGCTCTGGCGCACAGCAGTGGCGCGATTGCTCCCAAGAAAGTGACGAACAACGATTTTCTATTAACGGTTATTATTGTTGTAAATATATTTATTATAAAAATCACAAATACACGTGACACACGATGCACATACAAGCAATTTATATACTCACATACACACATTTTACTGGTACGAAACATGTGCTGTGCCGTAGATATTTTATCGAATTGTAATTATTGGTTGCAACGACGCGTAGACACATGGTCGCAATGGATTTGAGCTATGCATAATAATTCTCGTCCCTCGCGCGAACGCACCTTTGGATGGGCTTTTTTCTCCCGCCTGTTGACTGGTACTGTACGTTGCTCGGTAAAGATACGAAACGAATGTATCGAAGCAACAATAAAATTTAAAACAAAAAAACTCATTCAACGATGGCGGCTCGGGACGATGGAATAAAGTTCGGACAAACCAGGATGAAAACTATCATTATATAGACAACATTCCAAGTGTGATTGAATATTATGATCTGATTTTCAAATTGTGTTCTAAGCTATGAAGCAATCGTTCATAAACGATAAGTATTTTTTATTTTGTTTTACGATTCCTATTACGCGGAACTTTTTGCACTATTTTGTTAACTGAAAAACAAGGAAAAAACATTCCATCTATTTGTATAAACGTCACGATGTTGCCCCAAAAAAGCACCTTCGCACCCAGCACGTATAACTCAGCAACGTAAAAACTCGTCGATCAACTTCCGGTTATTTTAACCACGCTCCGGTATCAGCCGCTCGAAGCTCATTATTGCGAGATTGAATTAAAAAAGAGAAAAAAAATTAATAATAAAAAAACGCACGAGGAGATTGAATACGCGTTGATGGATTTGATCGATATAAAAATTATACGTCGTCGTAGAGAAAAATACGTGACTGAGAGGAAAACTGGAGTTGTGGGTGGAGGGGTGAAAAAAAAATTACATAAAACTATACAAGTGCAAGGTGATAAAGTACGCTTATATTTATATACAGTTTTGATATATAATAAAGAAGGATGCAGCTGAAGGTGTGTACACATGTCAGAGCTCTGCGTTATAATACACAGTTCGTATAAACAAGCGGTGAGCCGAAAAAAATGGGGTATCAAAGCGAATTGCCAAAAACTCGCGCGTGAACTTGAAACGACGCTGCGGTGTATTGTAAAGCTCGCACGCGGACACAGAACCCATACTGCAATTGTAATTCAAATTCTAAAGTTATGAAAGGGAACGAAAGTGAATGTGAGCGTTGAAAATGCGAAAAAGCCTGTGCTATAAGTACATTGCGAATTATATAGTCGTTAAATTAAACGAGAAAGAATAAAATAAATACATAATGAGGGAGAAACCAATTGTTAATCCAGTAGTTATTTTTAACATAGCTCGCGTGAAAAATTGCAAAATTGTTCGGAAAAACGTATTATATAAACTGCCAATTTTTTTATTCGTATTGGTTTAGTATCAATTAGTCAGACGTTCTATCAAATTTGAAGGAATTATCTGGAGCGTTGAACGGTTTATTGGAAATAGGTCAAATAAAATAAAATTAAACAAATTCAATTGTTAACCCAAAGGAGTGAACGCGTTTAACTATAATATAAGTATTATCGTAAGCAGTATTAAAGTTTTTAACAGTAATTTAGTACTTATATATATTGAGAATAGTAAAATTATATATATTATATATAAATACAAAAAAAGAACTTTTTACATCTCCGAAACAGTACTTCACCAAAGTCTTTAAATTTTTATCGAGAAAATGTATTGTTGTAATACCGAATTTGTAAGAAAAATTCACTCAAAGTTCCATTTTTTGTAAAATACAATTATTATCGATTAATATTGTCTTGCTCATCTACATAATTCATAAAAATTCACTAGTCATTTTTACTACGGCTATGTTTCTTGTAGCATTACCTCAAATTTCCCTGGTCAAAGTATAAGATGGTAAAAAAACTCATGTCGAATGGAGGCTTAGAAACCACTTATTGATGGGACATCATGACATTTTCATTTCTTTAAGCCCTTAAAAGTTGCACTTGTACTTCTCATGGAATTTCAATTAATCTAATACCGCGTTATTTTATGCTTGAGAAACATATTCGCGATACCAACTTTTTCGTTATATAATGTGATTTTGTAAACTTGCGACAAAAAAATAAACTAGTCAAACAAAACAATTTTTTTGCCAAGTAGATTTCGTACCAAATTTATTATACTTTGGCTGAGGGTAAGCAAATCATTCGTACGTTTATACCAAAAAATAGTAGAATTTATAAGTATCATAAAAGAAAACTTTTGTCGAAAATGTTGCTGATACTGCCAAAGACAGATTTTTGAATTGGTCGAATCGTAACGCTCGCACCGTCGCAACCACGCATCTGGATCACAATCCTTTAATTTCTCGAAATAATTACATCATTATGATCACGTAATTCGAATTCGACGCGTTATCAATTATAATCGCTTGAGAATTGATCGAAATAGTTGATGCCGACACATTGTACGAGAGGCATATGAGAAATCTCTGTAGATTTTAGCTCGCGGAAATGAAAAAATTTACAACGACATTTTCGTAATATAACACGTATTAATAAAATAGCCATGTAAAGGACGAAAGACGATATAATGAAATAAAAATGCATTTAAAATGAAAAAAAAAATATTAAATGACAAGAACTAAAATAATCCAGTATAGTGTAACCGACTAAAACATTGTCAAACAAGATATATAAAAAAAATAATTAAAAAATATATATTGATATTAATCTAACACAACTTTTGAGCGATCGAGCATTAATATTTTATTATATGCCATCTATGAATTGTAAAGACGACCAGTCAGAGTCAAACAAAGAAAAAAATATTGTACTTCGTTCTTATGATAAATAGATAAATACATGCATAAAAATATATTGTACACGTGCACTAAAAAAAATAAACCGCGAGTAAGGAAAGTGCGAAAATGCCGCGATACGTATATCATTTATAACATTCGAAAACGTAATAACGAAGATTAAAATAAAAATCGTATCTTTTCGTTAACGAGCGTAGATAATTAATTGTAAAACGATTGTAATACTGTACAGAATAAGCGAATTTTCGTGTTTTTTGCGTATCGTATGTTTGAGAGGAAAAAAATAAAAAACGAGACGAGAGAAAAAAGAGGTATATAATTATTACGTTGATTTACCGTGCCGCGCGGAGCTGGCTCTGGGGGCACGGCTGAGTGCACGCGCGCTTGTCGTGGTAACAATCGTGTTGCAAAAAATAATCTCCACGAGCTTGCGGAACGAATTGCAGAAAAAAATAAAATCTTCATTAAAAAAAAAAAGGGAACTCCGTACAGTCACAACTCGAAAGGTATAATGCTCTCTTGTAACGTGGAGATTATGACTATATCCTATCATTTTCATATTGTTATTTGCGTATATTATGGAACACCCGTTTTGAGATTATTTTATAATATATGCGTGAACAGTTCGCACATTTCCTTCCGCTTATTGTAGAAAACCGAGATGGAGAAAACGAAAAGTCGATATTAAAAAAATAAAAATAAAATAAACAAAGAAAACGATTGAGCAATAAGCTTTGCGTATCTTATGAAATAAAAGTGTTGGAGAGGGGTAAGGAATTTTCCAAAATATAATTATTTTCTTAACTTTGGTAGTAACAATGTATTCTATGTAGAATATTGGAAAATTGTGTTTACTAGACGTAAGGGTAAAAAAACACACCAAGATTCCAATTCTCTGGATAATCATGCGATTTTTTGTCGCTTGTTGTATAAATAGTAAAACACAATTTTCTAATATTTATCCTTCTTGTAATTCAAAAATGAAAAATATGATTATTATAGCAAATCTTTGGGTCAAATCGAACAAAAGGTTAATGATTTCATTAACTTGATTTTCCCCTGATTAAAATCAGAAATCAGAATAAAACATTTTACGATTCTTCAGAATAATAACAATTTAAAACAGTGATTGTTTTTTTCGACGGTATAAATATATAAATATTAAACGTACACGCGTAGGCACATTTACGTGTGTAAATAAATGGAAATGAATTAAAAATAAAATCAGATACTGTAATTAATGTAAGTAGTATGTAATGAATATTAACATTGTTAACCAAACTATTAGAGACCATTACAAGTGAATTGTCGATGTGGTGTCTATGGAAATGATTCCTTGATCATGAAATAATACAATTTTTTTAATCAAAAAACTGTATATTTATTTATCCTCTACTTGCTAAAAAATTTAGTGTGATGTTTGTGAATGTTCATTTTTCCTAAATATCATGATTAACCTTTTTATTTTTAAAGAAAATCAAGCTGTTTTCTTCAAGAAGATTACACAATTTTGAATAAAAAGATTCCACAGGAATAAATATAACATTTTTCGTAATGGTTTTTAAAATCCACGTTTATTTATTGAATATGTAACATATAAAATGAATCACTCCATTTGCAGCTAAAAGCTAACTCTCCAGTTAAGTATAAAAAATTAACAATAAGCCATGAAATTAATTAAGCATAAAGTTGCTTCATATTTTTCAAACAAGAAAAAGGTACGTGTTATTACATTGCACTGATTTGAAGAACTGTATGCATTCAATAATTTTATCAGATATTATAATTTCATTTTTTAACAAGCCAATTAAATTATCAATTCATCATATACTATTCCGTTTGCACTTGCTTACAATAATTCTAAAAATGTAGTCGTAAAGTGAATATAACAAAAAAAAACGCAATGAAAATGGAAGCTCTGCCAAAAATATTACTTATAATAGTACTCAATAATACTCTTCTATACATAATAATAAAATTTTCAAAATTAATTTAACATTTAATTTTAAAATTATTACATTTTTCTATCGTGCAATAATATTCATAAAGTTTGTGATGATGAACATTAAAAAGTACAGTAAATTTCCAATAGAAAAGCGCATTTTAATTTCATGGCAGTTTTCAAATAATTGAAATACAGAAATATTAAATCATTTATAATTGACATTATGATAAAATTAAAATGATTTTCTAACACTATTTACAAAATAACCTGGAATATTAAATTTGATAAATAAGAATAATTCTATTCTTAATATCAACACTTTAAATAAAATATATTTTGTAAAAGTAAAAAATATGTAAAATGCTTATTGGCTCATTTATTTTTATCAGCCTTAACCCTCGCTCATCAGTTAATACATAAATAGTTAGCATATTTTAGTTAACTGATACTTTAATCATGTACATTAAAAAAAATTTACAAAACATCTAGTTGGAATCGTTTGTGCGCATATCACAATGTTGAAAAAAGTATTACATTTTATATACGGAAAAATAATTTGTAATTTCTACTAATCTTAATGTAAGTTTTGGCTTTTGTTCATTTTTATATTGTAAATACAATATTTGGCTTACATGATATAATATGTAGATTGAATACAAGTCAGGTTCAAAAACAAGTTTAACAAATAACTCTTGATTTTTCAATTACTCAATTTAATAATTGTTAATAAAATAGCTAATAGAGATAAAGACGCTTTTTCTGTACTTAAAAATAATCAATATTATTTTTATATTAGCAATAGTTAAATTTTGCCAATACGGTTTAACTAATTTGAAATTTTGGAGAATTTTTTCGTCTTCAATAAATTTTTCAAGAAATATTCATTTCAAAGCTCATGGGAATATTGGAAAAATATTTAATTTCTAAAGTTTGTACGTACAGATTGCATGATTTATACAAAAATACGTGTATTTTCAATGCTTTAATTTTTAAAATATTTTTCATATTTCTTCATCAATAATAGAAATTCGTAAAAATTCAAGGCTGATTCAAAAATTCATTGCTAAATAGTTCAGCTTTTAGTGTCATTGTTCTATATGCAGAAACATAATAATTTTGTTGCATATAGTCAATCTGGTTTCATGTAGGTAAACCGTTATAGTTTTTAGTTCATTAATTTGTTAAAATCATTAAATTCTATTAATAAAATTTTTTTTATATATTGGTAAATACAAATAACATAACATAGTTCACTTGAATAAAATATAGCTGTTTTTTAGTTTGATCTAAATAATACCTACTACTGTTTAACTACTGTACTCTAATACATGGACTTAGTAAAAAATACTAAACAATGCTTCGCATTTTGTATGCAAATAAGCTGTTTCATAAATACATATATAAGGCATTTCCGGATAAACTAATCTATTTGTACATTTCAATAAGATCCTAAAATAATTTTCAATTAGTTTTAGACTGGATTTCAGAATACTTTCATTACGTATACATATTCTGTTTTTGCATTTACATGCCTTAGTATTAAAAAATAATCGATTAAGTCTATGCTATAATACAGTCTAGTTACAGTCGATACAATCTTAACTAATGGTTTTGAAATACTAAAAATTAGTAAGTTCGTCTACGTAAAATATTTTTTGAAAGCTCAGCTTTCACTTTGAATTCCACATCTCGTATACCGACCACATTTATTAATTCGTGCGAGCAGTGATGAATTCCAATAAAGCCATGCACATTAGACGAATCAATTCCAATGTTAAATATTAAAAAATTCATATTTACAATTAAAAGAGTAAAATTTGCACACATCAGGCACTATCCCTTTTTCGCATGAGTATTTTCGCTGCAGTAGCCCCAATGCGCAACGAGCCAAACTTGTCTGGACGCAATTTGAGACTTTTCAGCCTTGGCTAGACTTGTACGTACTGCTCGTCGTCTGTATCGGCGCTACCATTGTTATTGACTTTCCTGATTCTTTCGTAATTTGGCTCGAGTCGCTCGTAAGGCGGCTCTTGGCTCGGTTCGGCTCTGGTGTTCGTATACTTGACGCTCTCATAGTTCGGATCACCGTTGCTGACGCTCTCATAGTTGGGCTCGTAATCGCTAGGTCTGCCACTGACCGACGCGTAATTCGGCTCGTGGGGCATACTTTCGTAATTCGGCTCCGAGTCGTAGGTCTCGTCATCTGCTTCGTCGTCGGTCGTCGTTCTTCGACGTAGGCGGACACGCTCATAACCAGGGTCCTCGCTGCTCGCATTGCTTATCTGTAATTCATACAATTAATAAATACAACTCATCGACTCGTCGAGTTGAGTTATTGGCATCCATTTAAATACTAACTTGTCGATGCTTGAAAGGCATGGAGTAAATCGGCATGCTGCTGTCAACGCCATTTCTGGAACTAGTACTTGGCATATTGCACGGATGATGCACCGGCCTGATTGTTTCGTAATTCGCATCGACCACGGGTGCGCTCAGTCTTTTATTTTTACCACTAGCCATAACAGCTTCGTAACCGTCGTCGAATTCTGCATCTTCGACATTTTTAACTGCACTGGGCTGCTCCCGCTTGAATACTTCGCCAGACTCGTGACTCGACCAAGATGCACGGTTCGGTTCGATTAAACTCAGTTTTCGGCGCGCCTTGGACGTTACGCCACTGGCTGAATGTGCAGGCTCCACTGAATAGTTAATTGGGCTACCTTCTTCTTCGTTGCCGCTACCTTTTTTCTTCATGACTTTGGCATACATGTCTTCTAAGGACTTTCCTGGTGTCACAGGTGATGAGGATGATGCTGCTGCTAAAATTATATAAGCGTCGTTTCATACATGAATTTCGTTGAGTGAGAGGTAACTTAAAAATATATAAAAAGAATAGATTCATACCTCTATCCGTTTTATTGCGTTTGTCAATTATAGCGTAAACATCTGTGATTTTATCAGGAGGCGGTGGTAATGGTGAATTTGCCTGACGTTTTTCTGGTTTTGGTGAACTTGGAGGTGCTATCGAACTCGAGACACTCGACGACGAAGCTGTTTTAAATGATCAATGTTTTTTAGCATGCAGGAATCAAACAATAAAATTATAATTAAGCAATAAATAAAATAAAAATGATGATGCTCATGATTTGAATTAACCAATCAAATGAATAAATTCATTCTGAATATCCTAAATAAAAATAACTCAGAAATGACGATGAATTTTGATGAAAAAAAACATCATTTGAAATTCACATGAATTTGCAACGATCAGCTAAGGTTCTTATAAATTTATTGAGATCATCATAAATCTGTTTATGAAAGTTCATCATATCGCACACATAGATTTTTTAAAATATACATATGTATAATAACAACGAATTCACATCACAATAATCAAAAAATATATACACATCATCTATTTTACAATTATAATCGACAACACGGTGTATCATCGAAGAATAAACGTCAATATTGGAATTCGTAATTTCATCGAAGTACATGTTTCAAGTACGAGTCTTTATCACGATTTAAAACGATTGTTACCTTGTCGTGAGTGCACGTGAGCTACGTGTCTGAGACTGTCGACGCTCGGTGGTTGAGGTGCTTGTACTTGCGCGTATGGTTGAATTTCGCCGGGTCGTGCGGGCGCTGATGGTTCTCCGGACGAGGGTCGATTGATCTCGACGGTCACGACCACCGGCACCGGCTGTATTTGAGCGTAGGTTTCACTCTCACTAGTATATATTTTTTCCTGTTCATCGATTGCGGCATACATCTCATCTAAAGATTAAAAGTTATGTAGTACGAACAACGATTATTGATGAAATAGAATGAAAAGGAATAAGATTTTACCAGAATCATCAGAAACTGTAGCGTAATGCGGATCGGTAGGTCTACCTTCACTGCGTCTTTGTTGTAGGGCATTTTTTGTTTGTGCAATTAAGTTTGCTAATGGCTCTCTCACGCTTATACTAGTGTAACCCTCTGAAATAAAATAATACCGTGGTAATTTTAATTCTTTAACAGAAGGAGTTATATTAGCGCGTCGGATAAGTACTTGAATCTGCAGAATCTCCGCTAAAATGTTGTTGAGGTGGTCCAATGGCATCGGCAGGTTGAGGAATGTTTGGTAATGGTGGCATAATGATAGGCGGTGTCATGTAAGGTAAATCTTGATTAGCCTGTACACCCCCTGTTATGGCGCTTGCAGCTTGTATATCTTGCGAGGGCTGCGCTTGGGATAATATTTGTTGTTGCTGCTGATCAAGCAAAGAATTGTGAGACGAAGATCGCCGACTACGTGGTGGTGCAACTGGTAGACCGGACGAAGTAGAGGGCTGTGATAGATCTACTACATGATTACTATTTCTGTTTGAATTTTCAGTCTTAGAAACATTTTGAACTTTAGCATAGGGGTGCTCATCTGTAAATGAATAATATATTGACAGAATATAATTAATTTATATCATTTACTTTATACTGAATGTATCTTACCCCCGCTGCTGGTTGGTGGAGTTTGAAGTCTGGCATACAAACTCGCTGTTTCATCTTGGGAGCTTTGTTGTGAAATACTTTGTTTGTTGCGTTTATCAGCTCTTTCACCATCTGTAAAAGATACAAAAAAGTTATTTAGTAAAAAATTCATATTTTGTTACTTTAATAGAAATAACATACGTTTTTCATTTACTGTTGCGTATAAATCCAAGGGATCACTGCCTATGTTTTCAGAAACATCATAAAAGCGAGCACTTCTGCCCAACTCTGCATCAGTTTCTGTAACCTTATCTTTTGGAATGTCAGGCAAACTTCTGTTTGCTGTGCTGCTCCTGTTTGAATAATAAAAAAATAAAATGTAAAATAAGTATTTAATAATTTATACTGATAAAATGTTAGTTTGATAATAATTATAAGAAATATTAATCGTATATTATTTGTTAAAAGAAAAAAGAATGCAAAGATTTAGGGTAGTCAGACCAATTAATGACCGGGTACCAGTGAATGACCATTTGGAAAATATCATATGAAAAACAATTAAAAATATATTTGTGTGGACATAATTTAATTCTTTAGTGAACTATGCATCTTGTTTTCTATGTTTGATTATAATTTAACAAGGAAAAACGATAATTATTGCACATCCAAAAGTGGTCATTTACTGGTTGAAAGCGGTCAGTCACTGGTATAAGTACCCTATAAATAAATTTTTAATTGGTAAAAGTTAGTGGAAAACGTGTTTTTTTAGTTGAGTCCTTATTATTAGCTGTAAAGAAGAGTTTCAAAATTGTTGTATAAAGCAGTAGGGTCGAGTTACTAAAATTCCTCAATAAAAGAGTAGTTAGTTTATGAAAATATCAAGTAAAATATATTATGAACTAAATATTATCGATGACATAATGGTAAAAAAATTAGAACTATAATTAATAGCAGTCATAATCTATGTTAGGTTTTCAATAAAATAAAAAGCAATCATGGATGATCAAAGATCTATTCCACATGCTCTCATGCGCCAAAATTGTTGAAATTAAGAAACCTTTTTCCACACCCATCCACTGTATCCAGCGGTGTAATCTGTAATGTTTCTGTCACTGGGGTGATTCTACCAAATCCATCGCCATCTGGATGAGTTATAGTTACCATACCAGCTAGGCCCAGGAACTCGCTCCTGTTATAGTAATTTTTTTGTTTACAATTTAGGTTGTAATAACACAGAAGATTAAAATAATGACAGGTTCATTGTTTGAAAACTATTGAGTCAATATGTGTGTTGACAATCATAATTGAAATAATATGAGCAGTTTTGTTGCATCTAATAAATCTATAAAATGAGAGATGTTACAAAAATAATAGGAGTTCACTCACTTGTTATCATTGCGCCTGCAGCTACATATGCATGCAACAACAAGTCCAACAAATGAGACCAGAGCTCCTGCAGAGATAACCCAGTAAGCCCAGGCATCTTGTACTAACAGTGGATGTACCATGATCTTTGATCTCAACGATGATGAAAAAATCACCCAAGCAACATGATTATGTCACTTGGCTCAGGTCATGTTTGACTGGGTCTGCACTGAAATGATTTAACCACGCATGACAGTCAGCTGCTTTTCACTGTCTCAACACTCATATTGGTAAACAATCTTCTGGACAGTACACATTTACACCAGTAGAATTTTATAGGTGCGCCAGAATATTTTGCGAACTGGTGGTAGGCAGGGTCGACTTCACGAGCACATTATTTCACTATTATATATCGACTGTGCGAGCACACACACTGTAATGATACACATGCCAGTCACCGTTCAGCTCGGCATTTGCAGAAGAGTCATTATAGTAGTAGGAGTCCCATACAGACTCGAGGCAGCACTGGCAGCAGCAGCACACATAATCTCGCCGCGAGCGTGTGTGCGTGTTACATAGGATTTTTGATATTATTATGATTATTTACGTGGAAAAATTGATTACAATCGAGGCAGTCGCGCATAATAGAGAGTCTCGATCGATGATTCACGGCGCGCGCGCGCGAGCGGCTCACAGACGATGATTAGCCTTTGGAATTCGTGCGCGCTTCTGTTTGTCTCTCGCTGGCAGATATACGTCGGTCGAGTTTATCGTTCCCTCTCGCTCTGGCTCTCTCTCTCTCTCTCTCTCTCTTTCTCTCGGGCTTTTACAGCACATAGCATAATAGAGAACGGATTCTTTCTTTCGAGAAGGAGACCAGATGTGCATCGAGCGAGAGAGACAGAAAGAGGTATATACGAATGGTATACTAGGAGGAGAGAGAGGAAGGGGGATACTCGAGGATACAGTACGATTATATGTATATTGCGGAGTTGTGTTCACGATCCGAGAGAAATCAAAGAGAGGAGGGCGCGCGAAGTTATGCTATACAATTACACACATACACGGTACATACACACACATATAACAGGCTCGTTTCAGACGTGCGCTATCATGGAGATTCTGCACCTCTGCTGCGGGCCCGTTGAAGATACGATACATCAGGCATCGAATTTCAGATTAGAATGTCGCCGCGCGTGCTCGACGATACGTGACACATATGAGTCATTTCACGTCAAGTCTCCTAGCGCGGTGCCCGAGCGGCATTATTAATCGAAATTGCTCAATTTGTAACTCGCCAGAAAAGCACCTAAATGCACCCAGAAAAAATATGTGCCATATGATTTTGATAGGAAATTTCCTCAGCTTTCCGATGGTAGGGTCAGATTTTCCGAAATTTTCACTTTTCCCCGGAAAAACTTGACATAAACTTTCAAACTCAAATATCTCAAAAACGGCATTTTTAAGATTTTTTTAAATAGTGCCAATCGAAAGCTGAGAAAATTTCCTATCGATATGCAAGTTTTCAGAGAGTACTTTTGATAATTATTCAATGAAATACAGCGACGAACGTGTAAAAACGTGACATTTCGGCCCGTGCGGCAGCTGTTCCCGCGCGCAGTACCCCGCGCGGCGCAAAATCTCACGTTTTTACACGTTCGTCGCTGTATTTCATTGAATAATTATCAAAAGTACTCTCTGAAAACTTGCATATCGATAGGAAATTTTCTCAGCTTTCGATTGGCACTATTTAAAAAAATCTTAAAAATGCCGTTTTTGAGATATTTGAGTTTGAAAGTTTATGTCAAGTTTTTCCGGGGAAAATGGAAAATTTTGGAAAATCTGACCTCATCATCGGAAAGCTGAGGAGATTTCCTATCAAAATCATATGGCACATATTTTTTCTGGGTGCATTTAGGTGCTTTTCTGGCGAGTTACAAATTGAGCAATATCGATTAATAATGCCGCACGGGCGCCGCGCTAGGAGACTTGACGTGAAATGACTCATATATATATATCTGCGAAAAATCGGAGCGCAGCAGGTACTCGAGAGAGGCACATATGGGATAGCAGCGGCGCAGGTGGCTGCAGCTGTTGCTCCTTTCTCACGCGTTCAAAACGGGATCATGATCTTTCAGCAGTGTTAAAACACGCTTTACGATCGTGTAAACATTCGGCGTGTTTTCGTCGCTGTTACTTACGTGCCTGTCAACGCAACATCGAGCGATTTTCGAGATCGAAGGTCGCGCTCGAATTTTGAGATAGGGTCTTGGGGACATGTTAAAAATGCGTCGAATGCCACGATTACAGATTTTAAAGCCATATAATAATAACTCATTTACTCCTAGGATTTATATAGGCGTTCGATTTCTGTAGATGACGATTATAAGCGTATTAATGATCTATGTAAACGACCTTGATTTTTTTTTCAGATATTTCAGATCGCCACATCCTTCAAAGAAAATTATTGAAAGATAAAATAATTTTCTATTCTAATAAGCGTACGAATTTCGAAAAAAGATCGACTCATATTTTGACGTAATCTAAGACAGCAAATGTTACCCCGAAACATAGATTGAATAATTTCTGCACAAAAACAAATGTTTATTCGAGTTCAATTTCCTTAAAAGTTTTTGGTTTAATTGGTCAAGTAGGCTTTCAGCTGATGTGGAATTTTCATAAATCACGACGACATTTAAAATAAATAAAAATTTACTTGGTTCACGGGGAAAGTCATTTGTAATGCATAGGTTTAATTGACTTGATTTTTTTTTAATTCATTATATTTTTGGAAACTTGAATTTTGAAGAATTTTTTTATGAAGGCGTATCTCTAAACATATCATTTATTAAGGTTCAGGAAAGACGATACTTTCAAATTTGTTTGCAGCATCAGAACTGTCAAATTAGAAATTCGGAGAACGTCGATGTTATAGTCATATATTTTAATGAAAAGAAAATCACTGAGGTGACTCTAAGACCTTCATTTTTAAATCAAACGTGACTCATATACGTATAAAATAAACTTTCATTTAAATCTGAATAAATTTACCATGGCTATTTTATATAATTTTTTGTATTGTTGCAAACGTTTAGTATATCAAATGAATCAGTCATATTATTCTCCTTACATGCCTTTAAGTGAAAATATAAATTTCAAATACATTTTACGTTCAAATTTCTTACTTTAATTAATAAAGCACGATTAAATTATTTAAGATCTATTTCATTCAATTTGATGGATTCTTCATAAGATTTGGGATAGTTAAAAATAAATTAATTGCATAAAAATGACTATAATATTTTCAAACGTTAAGAATAGAAAAATAATTGAGTTTTATGAACAAAATTGTTACTTATTAACGATAATTCAGAAAATAACTTTTTTGTGGCCATTTCAGAGCAAAAAATTGAAACATAGTGGAAGAATTATGTTCTTAGTCAATGCATTTTTAGTATTGCAAGCTTCGGTTAATATATTACTTCTTTTAATTATGATACTTTTCAGAACCCCAATTAAAAATTTTTTCAGGTAACATATTTAATTAGAAGAAGAAAAACGTTAGAATTAGATGGTTTGCTGAGGTTGTATTTGGATTTGTAATTTTGTTATGTACATTATCAGTATATTTGATATGGATACTACAAGAAAAAAAGGTAAAAAAGTTAAAGAGGTCCAGATTCTGGCCCAAACTTCAAATTTTTAAGCAAATTTTCTGAAACTTCTATTAAATGAAACTCAATAGAAATCATAGAGTATCAAAAAGAAGGTTCCTATAGAGCCCTTTAAATAAATCGCCGTTGCTTATGAGTAAATACAAACATCATCGAAGTGTCCTGAAAAAAAAACACCTCATTGAAGCGCCGCGAAAAAAACACACCTCTTCGGAGCGCCGTGAAAAAAAAACACTCCTCCTTGGATACCATGAAAAAAAACACCTCTTCGATGCGCCGTGAAAAAAAATACACCCCATCGTATCCAAAGAGGGTTTTTTTTTCACAGCACTTCGATAAGGTGTGTTTTTTTCACGGCATCCATTGTGGTGTGTTTTTTTTCACGGCGTTTTATCAGTATGATTTTTTTTGTAGCGTTTTTCACTGTGTTTTTACTCATAAGCAACGGCGAAATTATTAGGAGAAGTTTCAAACCTTTTTTTCGAATTTTAGGCTGGGGTCCGGTTCTCTTTAAAAATTAAATTTTAACGAAAATCATAACTTTCTTCTTTTTTTTTAAGATTCGGATCCTTAAAAAAACTTCTTTGCTGAATATGATCATTTAAAAAACGTAAATGAAAAAATAATAACGCTAAAAATGATGCAGAAAGGTTATAAAATTGGTACGGTTCTTGCATGTAAGTGTAAAATTATGTCAATAGATTTATTAACAATTTTTCTTCAGTATTCTCACGTAACTGCATTTACTTACGAATTTCCTTATACTCAATTAACCCTTCCCTTCCCAAATATTACAATTGTCAAGAAAAAAAAACAATAGAATAATGAACTGTACTATTTGAAAGTTAAAGTGCCTGCATTTTATGATTTTAAAATAAGAATTTTGAGTTTCTCTATCAAATAATAATAAAATTTCGAAAATAAAATATAAAATATCTGTTTGGGGAAAAATGATTAAATAATCTTTTATAACAATTATTGATCCTAAAATAATTTCTTATCTATTTAATTGTAGATGTGATGTTTGGTTTTTATTTTGGAATTATATTTTTAGTATTTATAATAATTCTATCAATAAAAAAATTTTTTCATATTTCACATATAAAAATGGATTTTTTCATCGACGAAAATACAATTTTTTACTTTTATTTGATTTATGGAATAATCTGTGTGTATGCAGATAGGTTTAATAGCTGCAGCAATAATAGTATCATTTATTATGTTTTGCTATTATATTGTTAAAAAATTCACTTTTGTTTGGTACGGTCAGAAAAATGCTATTATTTAAGAAAGAAATTAATTCAATTAACAAATCTTAATATATATTTTCTTTAGCGTTGAAATTAAAACATTGAAAAATCGTCCTCGTACTTTGGAAAGTTGATATTCTAATTATTGTCCGCACGATTCGTGGCTTTCGAACATAGCAACTGAAAGAATTTGCGATCATAATAATTGCGTAAAGTTGAGTAATGAAAACTTGTGGCTGTGGATTTTTTAGAGTTCTTTAAAAAATTCAATTTTTATTTTAATTAAAATCAAATAAAGACTTTGATTACTAAAATTAAATAATTTTTGTATTGCAGCTTGATTCAGATTTTCAATAAATTTTCAGCGCTATTCGTTCTTACGGTTGTAATTGGTATTATGACTGTCTTGAGCTTTTCAGGATTTACAGTAAATATCATTTTGTGGCATAATTTTAATTTTGATTTTTATTTACTTTAAATAACCTTTTTCGAAACACACTTTTAAAGAGTATGAAATTTAAATTTTATTTCAAAATATATTCGCTTGTTAGAATTTTTTTTACTCCTCAACAACGTGTACTTTGGTTTATTTGTACTATCGTCAATATCTCAATAGAGATTATTATAGTTATCATTGCAATCTCTAACACTACGATTTAATTTATAGTTTGTCATTTATGTAAATAGTTATAAAGAGCTGTGTGAAAAAAACGGCATACTTGGATGAAAATAAATGTACCTTTTGTTTATAATACCGTACTTATAAAAAAATTCTCGTCGTA